CTCTGACACTTGTGTCACCGACTTGCACTGATAATTGTTGTACTTGATATACATAAAAAGCCCCAAAATAGCATACATAATTCTTATTCAAAAGAAAAATATGGTGCATAGAGGCCTGTTAGGCATCAAATACATTGAATGGAATCTGAAATTTAAGATGATAGTCTGAAGACAGACTACAATTATTTCCAAAGCGTCAACTCTGCAGATAATGAGAAAGGCATTCAGAATGGCTTATCAACGCCTTCTGTGTGCATGGTGTGCTCCCTGCCCATTGTAAAGAATGATGAGGACAGCATCAGAGTCAAGACCTGTTCCATCCTGATAAAATATAATGTGCATTATCTTGTGGCACAGAATGTTAACAAGGATCTCTGAATGCCGAAAGATGCCAGTTGGAGTGCAAAGTCTCTAAATACTGATCAGAAGTTTGGGGCACAATCATTCTGAAACCATAATATGTTTTAAACATTTGCCAAAGACACAAATTTGACTTTTGGGCTTTTGGTTTATGGCCCAGGCTTGTAGAAGCACTGAGAAGCTCTGTTTTGGCATACAGTTTGCCTTCCTGTAGAGGTGGTTGATTATTCCATAGCTGTGACTTGATTACTCATGCATTCAACATTTATTGAGCATTTTTTTATATTCAAGAATATGTGCTAAATGCCACAGATATTGGTGTTAAAGGTCAAAGACCCTGACCTCAAAGAGCTCACAATTTTGTAGATAAAATAGAAAAATAAGCAATTGAGGACAATATATATAGACATTTATATTAAGGGGAATTTTGAGAGCACAGTGGAGCAGCATTAGAGGCAAATATAAGTAAGTATAGTTTCCAGAATCATGGGATACACGAACTGGATATTTGGGAAGTAATTGGAGCTAGCCTGGGGAAGGAGGGAGTAAGGAGTGGGGCTTACAATTAAGGAAAACACCTATATGCAGCCTAGGGTCTTGAGATACAGTGGAGCTGTGAGGACACTGCAATGGGTGGCACCAGTAGCATCTACATCTTTTAGAAGTTTCTACTGCATTACAAGGCAATTGTGCTTTGCTTCAGAGACAGGCAGATAGAGAGGGGATGATGTCAAAAATTTAAGCAGACACTGGTACAATCATACTTGTACTTTATAGTGATCACATTTCTATAGAAATCTAGAGAGTGATTACGAAAAGAGAAGTTAGTAGTAGTACAAGCAGATGAGACATGATGAGGGTTGAATTAAGGCCACAGCCATAAGGATGGCACCTTAGATCCATTTCTAAGAGAGAAATGATGAGATTTGATGACTAATTAAGATATGGGGAATAGTAGCAAATAAGATGGTAACTCCTAGAACTATGGCTTAGGTGACCTGGATGATAATACCATTCACGGAGAGGAGAATTTTGGCGGGGATGGGGGTGGAGCAGATCAGCACGAGTGGGGAGAGGAAGGTTATCATTATTTGGAATTGGGGAATGATGACTGTATTAGTCCATTTTTCACTCTGCTAATCAAGACATACCCGAGACTGGGTGATTTATATAGGAAAATGGTTTAGTTAACTCACAGTTCCACATGGCTGGGGAGGTCTCACAATCATGGCAAGGAGGTAAGGAGGAGCAAGTCCTGTCTTACATGGATGGCAGCAGGCAAAGAGAGAGCTTGTGTAGGGCAACTCCCCCTTACAAAACCATCAGATCTTGTGAGACTTATTCACTATCACAAGAACAGCAAAGGAAAGAGCCACCCCCATGATTCAATTACCTCCCACCGGGTCCCTCCCACAATACCTGGGAATTCAAGATGAGATTTGGGTGGGGACACAGCCAACATATCAATGCCTGTGAGATAACTGAAGAAGACATTCTACAGACAGTATCAGAAGGATGATCTGGGCCAGACGCAGTGGCTCACGCCTATAATCCCAGCACTTTGGGAGGCTGAAGCAGGTGGATCACTTGAGGTCAGGAGTTTGAGACCAGCCTGACCAACACAGTGAAACCCCATCTCTACTAAAAATACAAAAATTAGCTGAGCATGGTGGCATGTGCCTTTAGTCCCAGTTACTTGGAAGGCTGAGGCATGAGAATTGCTTGAACCTGGGAGGCAGAGGTTGCAGTGAACCAAGATAGCACCACTGGTGACAAAGTGAGACAAGTGAGACTCCGTCTCAGAAAAAAAAACAAAAACAAAACAAAACAAAACAAAACAAAAACAAAAGAAGGGTAATCTGGTCTGGAGGTACAGATTGCTAATGTATACCTACATTCGCTTATGTGAAATGTCACAGGGCAAAATCTTTCTGACTTCTGTTAGAGTGATCACCTGTTTCTCTACCTATAGTCTCTTCTCAACTACAAATAGATAAACCAAACATTTTTATCTTTCCCAATGCACCTTTAATCCCATGGCTTTTGCTGAAACTTGGCATTTATTCTATGAAATCACTTTCTACACAATCCTTTTTAAAGAGTTCTTATCTCCATGATTCTCAGGGACAAGAAGGAAGGCTGGTTTTCTTGCTGAAACCACTGTTCCTATGAGTCCACTGGTGGGACAGTTAACTTAAGTTTTAAAAGGATGCCTTCATTGGGTGGACAAGGGGGAAAAAGCATTGCAGACAGAGATCAGTGCATACAAAAACTTGGAGTGGTAGAGGTATATGGTAGGTTTGAGGAAAAGCAAACTGTCTGGTATGACATATGACTAGCATGTAGAGTGATGGCAGAATTTTAATAGGAAATAAAACAAATATTAAAAAGGTTAAAATAAGTTTTCACTTTACTCAAATGCAGTTAGAAGCCATTATGGAATTGTATGGACCATGCTTTTGGAATTTCGTGAGCTTCTTATTCTCAGTCACCTTCATCTTTATTCCACTGCAGTCATACATTGATCCAATTTCAAATTAGACCCTAGCGTCATTCAAACCTGCTTTATAACCAAAATTATCACCACATCCTGAGGCTTCTCATTTCCTTGCTTCTATTGAACTTTTGGCAGGACCTCTGTCACCTGGTCTCTCCATGCCCATACGCTGTCACTCCTTCTCTATCTTGACATCTCCCCAACAATCACGGACTTCATGAGAAGCATCTCAGGGATGTGTCTGTCATTGCTCTTTAAACCTTCTAGTTTTTGACCTTCAGCTTTCTCCAGTACTGGAAAGCCCCATTTTCTACCGTCTTCTCGTCTCGCTGTAAGGCTATTAATCCACTTCAAATATTTATTACCTAATTTTAACTACATATTTACTATAGCTCTGTGGCTTTTTCTACTTTAATTGTTGATCTTTTTTAATGGTATTTGACATGCTGGCTGCTCCAAATTTTTCCAGTCTCTATAGTTTATACTCCCAGTAATGTCATTTATATTTATTGATAAGTGAATTTATGGTTATTCTAAATTCTCTTTTAGAGTTGTCCTTGTTTCCTGTCACTTTTCATACATTTTTTATTCTACCTACCCTGAAGAATTAAAAATGGAATGCAGGAAATGACAAACACGCTATAGTAATACCTACCATTGATGTAGCATTTACTGTATCCAGCCTCGTTGTTAGTAGTGACAGAGCAGAGCTCAGTCCTGGATGGTCTATCTAAAAAATTTATGTTCTTTCCACTTTTCTAGGACCTTAGTTATGCCAAGTAAAACAACCATGGAAAATCTCATTCACAGACTGCATAAGAAATAGCTAAGCCTTAAAGAGCAAGCCATTTACCTGGAAACAAGTGCTATTGCAAAAGTTTTCATTTTTATGGACATAAATTTAATGTTTAAGTTTTTTATTTTTCAAAAAACAATCAAATTTAATATGCTGGCTTCTCTTTTAAGTTGGGTATTTGTTGAATCTCGTAACAGTTGTAAATAATAGATGGTGTTAGAATATCCTGCTGCATTTTCTGTCAAGAAAAATGGGTACAAATCAAACTACTACTGACTTCTGAGTTATTTGAAAATCTTTTAATATCATTTTAATATACAATTTATTATTTGGGATTAGAAACACAGAAACAAAGATGGGTAAGTATAGATATTCCTCATTTTGTGTCTTTTAAAACCTATATGCAAATGTGATTATTGTATATCAAATACTATTTTGACATTTAATAAAATAGTTTGTTATTTAAATACTACTACAACCTGTATAAATCATAAACTTATTTTGCTTAGCAAATAATACTTACCTACTAATTTTGGGAGGATAAGTACAGTTTGTTTTAATGTAACATTACCTTTAAATGAAGTGTTATCAGCTTCTAATGATGCCATTAATTACATTAAGTCACAATTTTTGTATTTAAAGGTAGTATTTTACAAAAAGAAAAATTAAGATAAAAATGTCTATGTAAAATGAGCACTTAGATCAATAGTTGCACATTATATTAGTACAATAGATTTTTTTTGCCGAAAAAAGTGTTTTTTCTCTAGCAAATAGTATGTATCAGGTACTGTTATAAGTACTTTTGAACACATTTAATTATATTAAGAGTCCTATGAGATAATTACCACTATTGTCTTTTTAACGTGAGGAAGCTGAAACATGGAAAGGCTGAGAAACTTGCCCAAGGTCATACAGCTAATAAGTGGCTGTGCCAGGATCCCGACCCAACTGTCTGGCTTTGGAGTCTGAGCTCTTACCCACTGTTCTCTCTGCTGCTTTACTAAATTAAGTGTTTAAAAATAATAGAAAAACATCGACCAGCCACTTTTAGGCTTCCAACAAAAGTGCAGTTAACAATAAACTTTGTTCTAAAAATGACTTATTTGTTTTCACAGACTAAACACCACAAGCTGTTGTATGCAATAATTCTTTGTAACAGCTGCTCTGCCTTGTGCAACTTCCCACAAGCACACCAAAAGTTAATATCAATTACAATTAAGGGGGAAATTATTTTGGGTAACAGAACATTTGACAAGTGCTCTGGTAAACAAAGCATTGTCAAATTGCTGAATTGTGAACACTTTGCTAAAACTTTTTCTGTTTTTTCTGTGCTGACTTTTTAAAAAGGTATAAACTGTGAATTGGAAATTGATGAATGTTGGTCCCAGCCTTGTTTAAATGGTGCAACTTGTCAGGATGCTCTGGGGGCCTATTTCTGCGACTGTGCCCCTGGATTCCTAGGGGATCATTGTGAACTCAACATTGATGAGTGTGCCAGTCAACCGTGTCTCCATGGAGGGCTGTGTGTGGATGGAGAAAACAGGTACATTTTCTCTGGCGTTGGGTGATTGGCTTAGAACTCCCTGACCAAGAACTATTTTACCACTCTGGTGAATTTAGAGCTCTCACATTCTCGGCTTAAAATTTGGTGGGGGGGTAACTTTATACTTTAATGAAAACATTCAGATTTCACTAAAAAGGGTATTCTTGGAGACCATCTGTCTCAAGAGGGAAGATTTTACAAGTAATTCTTGTAATAGTTTAGAACTGCTTATCCTATGGAAAATTGCCAATTTTTCAATTCCATGAAATAAACCTGTTGTAGATAGGAAAGGTGCAAAAACAAAACTATAGATTATTATATATATGTATATAAGGTTGTATCTGTATGTCAAGGATATAAATCAGATGACAACAATAAATCCTTTAAAAATGTTATACAAACCATGACCATGTTGGAAAGGGCAGTGATATTTAATTACTTATATCTTGAATTAATTTCCACGTGTTCAGGGAATTGGGTGAATATTTTTGAAAAAGCATAATGGTGAGAAATAGCCATGTGATTCTGCTTCAAACTGAAGTCTATCGTTGGCTTTCAGGCAAAATAGAACAGCAATAAATTACCTCTCAATATGATGAATATAATAAATGTGTGTAACAGTAATTGAGCTCATATAAAACATTTTTAAAAGAACTTTCTAATACTTATTTAAGCCACAACACTGAAAAACTTTCTAACACTTGTTTAAGCCGTGATACTGAGTTATCAAATGCATAACAATTTTTAAAAAGATTAGCACTTAAAATTATCTTGTTTGATCCTTCAACAGCTCAGTGGAAGGCAAGATGAGTATTAATGTTTCCATATTACAATAAGGAGTCTAAAGTTTAGGGAAATGAGAAGACGCCCACAAGTTCACAGAATTAATTCTTTGCAAAAGGAGGACCAGAATCCAGTTTTTCTTTATTTAGTAAATAAGACATGATTTATCCCAAATCTAATTTCAAAGTGAATCAGAGTTAAAAGAAGAGCAATAAAAGGCACATATGCTTCAAAAATTTGCAACAAAATCATCAAAATAACAGACTCTTTTTTTTTTTCTTGCTCTGTCACCCAGGCTGAAGTGCAGTGGTGTGATCTTGGTTCACTGCAACCTCTGCCTCCCGGTTCAAGCAATTCTCCTGCCTCAGCCTCCCGAGTAGCTGGTATTCCATATGCCCACCACCATGCCTGGCTAATTTTTGTATTTTTAGTAGAGATGGGGTTTCACCATGTTGGCGAGAGTGGTCTCGAACTCCTGACCACAGGTGATCCACCCACCTTGGCCTCCCAAAGTGTTGGGATTACAGGCTTGAGTCACTGTGCCTGGCCCTCAAATTTTAAATAGAACAATGTGGTTGTATACTCTTTTTAAAATATAAAATATAACTTTTAATTACATTCCATGTCTTGTCTTTGACTTTTAGTTGTACCCCAATAATGCTCTAGGGGCGTAAATCTACATTCCTGGAGACAGGTAACTGGCCAACACAGAGACAGACAGGTCACAATGGAAGTTTCCACACAAGACCTTCAGAGGAAAAGGAGGCTCACCCCTCCCTACTCTACTGTTTCCAGAAAGCATCAGGACAGAAATGACACAACGTTTTGATTCTGTTGGAAATGTAAACAAAACAAGGCTGAAACTTTGCTATCTTTTATTCCCTCTCTCGAATATGCCATGAATAGTTTCCCTATTGTGCCATTATCTCTTATTGCCTAAATTTTGAGATGATAGTCATAAGATCGATCCACTACAACCTGACTTTGTTGTCCCACAAAAATTTAAAATGTTTGCTATGAGGTATGCGGGGAAAAAAAAAAAAAAGAACTTCTTGAAGACCAAAGGAATTATGCAAATGGAGCTTCTAATTCCATGAACTGAGGTCCATTAGTCAGCCAGCCAAGCACTTTGACCACAGGGTTCTTGTCACTAATGTTTTACCTATACTAGATTTTTAGTAGGTATTTTTAATTGAACAAATGGAATAGTGAATAGATTTCAAACAACACATATGAAGATTATAGTCACTTATAATATTTGGTTGGTGATAAAAACACACACAGCCATAGCGAAGAGGACTACTACGTGCCTTATAAATTCGTAGATATTCTTTTCCCAAGATCCTCATTTTGCCTAAGCTGAGTGTGCAGATCCATTTTTTTCCAATACTAAATCCTTGAGGAGACCCTCACCTAAATTAAAATCTCCTCTTAATAAAATCAACAACTTTCTTCATTAGATGTGTATTTTGGGGCTATTTGATAATTCCAGTGAATCCGTGAATAATTAGAAATAGTAAGGTTTAAATATTCTTGCAATCTAAAAATAAGAGAACATCATAAGTCACAATTCATTTAATGAAGGCTTTTCCTGAGTTTTTCATAATTTATGGTTTCATTTTTCATATGAGACCTTATTAATGGGCTCTCTGTATAACAGAGTGCCATGATGGTATAAATCATTCTCTACCACCTTAAAACATGTTAACAATTTTATTAAGTGCTATTTAGTAGCAACATATTTAGTACCTTCAGATACATGGGATTCTTTATATTTAGTACCTTCAGATACACGTCTATTCTTTATACACATACTTAATTGTCACAATAACCTTGTAACATAGGTACTATATTCAGTTTATGATATATTCAGTTTATGAATGAAAAACTGAATAGTCATGATATGCATGGAGCTGTACTTTTAAAAAATTAGCATGAAGCTAAATTTTTAAAGAGATAATAAGACATTAATAAGTAAATAATCATGCATTCAGTCCTGTATAGATAGTTCCCCAGAGTTTTTGAAGTAGTAAGACTGTGCCATGGATCTTGGGTTGATGGACAGATGAAGAAACAGTATAAAGATATCTGATCTCAATATGACCAAGAGTTGACATGAAAATTTCATTACTTTCCAGATATAGCTGTAACTGCACGGGTAGTGGATTCACAGGGACACACTGTGAGACCCTGATGCCTCTTTGTTGGTCAAAACCTTGTCATAATAATGCTACATGTGAGGACAGTGTTGACAATTACACTTGTCACTGCTGGCCTGGTAAGTGACAAAATACCTTCCACCAATTATTTTTCATTTGTTTAGAATAGAAACATATCGCTTATAGCAAATGAAACGAAAAATTACTTTCGTTAAATGTTTTAAGTCAATTATTTCTTCTAGCTATTATTGTTTAATTTAGTTTTATTCTTCAGTGCTAAAACATATTTACCACTGTACTAAATATTGTCTAAAGTAGGTTACCAAGCTGCCCAATGATCATAACCCTCTAGGGGAACAGAGGGGAAGAAAATCAATGGAAAGATGAAATTCAGCATGATCTTCATGGATAAAAATTCACTGGAAGATGCTGTCTTTTTTGCCAAGATGTTCTTTTATATGGCAGGAATATATAGAAACCAATGAAATAATGTTAAACTATTAGGAACTTTTACTCTCTTAGGCATTTGTAATGTAACCAGTTATATTTGTTAATATAATAAAAAGTTAATTATCTATAAGCCATAACTAAAGTTTACATATAGAGGATAATTAGACTTGAGTGTAGAGGTGATAAAAGAATCAACAGAAAACAGTACGTAACATTTGTGTTACATTACAGGCCACAGGCAAATATTGATGCTTATTTTGGGAAACAAACTGCCTGATACACAGCTTTGCATTGCATAACAACATTTTGGTCAATGATGGACTGCATATACTACCCTGGTCCTGTAAGATTACAATAGAGCTGAACAATTCCTACTACCCAGTGATGTCATGGCTGTCGTAACATTGTAGCATCACTCACTATCCATGGGATTGTGGCGGTCCCTCAGGAAGTATTCCAAAAGAAGGCACTGTTATCATAGGAGATGACAGCTCCATGTGTGTTATTGCTGCTGAAGATATTTCAGTGGGACAAGTTGTGGAGGTGGAAGACAGTGATATTGATGATCCTGACTCCATGTAGGTCTAGACTATGGTGTGTGTTTGGGTTTTAATTTTTAATAAAAAGTTTAAAAGCTTAAAAAACTAAAAATAGAATAAAACATAGAATAAGAGTTCCTCTCAATCTTTAAGTTCCTTATCTGCAAAAGAGGGATAAAAATATTTTAGTTGTAGTATTATTATGAAAAGTAAAATTATAAAAATAGAGCCTGGTACATATTAAGAACTCAAGAAAGGGCAACTATGGTGCAAGTTCTATACCAGGAGGTGGAAATTATGTATGAGGGCGGGAGTTTGTAATGGTCAGGCAGTTAAGAACATCTACCTCAAGAAACCCAACTAGTACATGTTCCATTCATTCATGGATTCAAGCATTTAAGCCACATGAATTTCAGTGGCTAAAACAATAGTGATCTGGGAATAAAAAAGGTACTGTCCCTTCCTCCAAGGAGCCTAAATCCTAGTAGGGAGACATATGTCAAAACGTATATAGTACAATTTTTGGTACAATAAGAGGCTATAATAAATTCTGTAAAAATGAATAGAAAAGAAGTACAGGGATAGCTTGCTCAAAGATGCACCATTTTAGATAAGCTAAAGATGACTGAGCAAGTTCCATAAATGTACTCAGTAGCTGTGTGACTTTGGACAAATTACTGCTCTGAGCCTCAGTTTCCTCATTTATACTATCCACAGGATAGAGTTGTTTCAGAGATAAATCCAGTAATGTATATAAAACTCCTGGCTTATCCTGGAGCATAGTAAGCACTAAATAAAAGTTAAATGAATATCAAAATTAGAAAGTTGTGTAGTCCATTACTTATTTGAGAAATGAAGAAGAGAAGGAGAAGAAGAAAGAAGGAAGCAAGAAAGGTGGCAGGCACATGCAGAAAAGAGCACATCTGGCTGGGCACCTTGGATCACACCTGTAATGCCAGCACTTTGGGAGGCCGAAGCAGGCAGATCACTTGAGATCAGGAGTTTGAGTCCAGCCTGGTCAACATGGTGAAACCCCATCTCTACAAAAAGTACAAAAAGAAGGAAAAAAAGATTAGCCGGGTGTGGTGGTGCACACCTGTAGTCCCAGCTACTCAGGGGGCTAAGGCAGGAGAATCACTTGAACCTGGGAGGCGGAGGAGGTTGCAGTGAGCTGAGATAGTGTCACTGCACTCCAGCCTGCACTTGAGGGCGACAGGGTGAGACTTCATCTAAAAAAAATAATAAAATTTAAAAAAAGGAGAAGAAAAGAGAAAAAAAAGCAAAGAGCATGTCCAATTGTGGAACTTTGAATGATTGCAAAAATGCTGGACTGTGTAGGGCTGGAGGTAGAGACATGGAACTGGGGAGCTGGACTGAAGCCAGATCACAAAGCTGCATATCTGCCCTGCCAACTATGGGACAGAGAAGTAACAAAATCTACTTTGTTAATTTCAAAAGAGTTCCCTGGCTTCGTGGCAGATGATAGAAGAAAATAAAACTAAAGGCAGGGAAATCTAGGAAGAAGATTCTTCAGTAGTTTGAAGAGATAAGTCTGTTTGCTAGAACTAAGAGAATAGTGGTTGAAGGGTGGGGGGATAGCCCTGAGAGTCACATAGGAGGTGGAAATGACATGGGAAGTAAGAAAAGGGCACAGGTTTAGGACAGTTCTGCCTCTGGATTTCTGCCCTGGATTACTGCACGGATGGTAATATTGCCTAGTTAGAATATCCTGAATACCTTTGCAACCTGTCTTGCTGTTGTATACAAAGATAAAAGTTAACACTACAAACTACTCTAGAAAAGGAGACCGTTTCTCTAGATCATGACTCCACTGCCACAGAACACAATGGCGAGAATCCACTGCTATAATTGCCTAGGGTCCTCATTTCAGAAGTAATTAATAATTACAAGAAGTGTCAGTCACCTTAAATGCTTAGCTTAAAAGATTTCCTGATGCCCAGATGTGATTGAAATTGTTAACAAACAAACATAATGTAAGAACCCCGGGGATGTGACTCAGTATCATATTGTTTCTTTGTTCAGAGTTTTATAGAAAAGCTTGTTAAAACTATTGCATATAGCCTTGACTGAAGGAGTCTATTTATATACATGGTTAAAGAGAGCAGCAAATAAAATCCCCACAGAGCCTCAGGGGTGGGGACAGGACGGCAAGACTATAAATCAGAACCTTCCTAATGTTCACGATTGGAATGAGATAATGCATGAGCCGGAAAAGCAAAAAAAGGATTTATATGATTCTAAATTCCTCCCTAACCTGGTTTATGTGCGTCTCGAGTCAGAATGAGAAGGAAATTGAAAAGAGTCCAGCCTTTCTTCAATAAGTCCACTGTGGCACAACAAATACCAAATAATAAAAACTTATTGTAGAAACTGTTATTTAATGTATTTGAAGAACCTTAAGTATGAAATAATAGTATTCAAAAAGTAGACATTCAAGTTTAAGAGACTCTGAATGGTCTTTGTTGGGGTGGTCACTATAAAGGATTGTTGGGTCTGGATCTGATATGTTTTTTTATTTTCCTTTTTTTTTTTTTTTTTTTTTAGAACTTTTTGACTCTTAAGTTTCTTCTTCAGATTGTTGAGAAAGGCCCCAAGGGTCTTTTTGTAAAAAATGTATTACACTGTTGAGCTGCAGAATTTATGTTGTGGTTATGATTGAACATATGATCTCATTTAGGTGTTTATTAAAATTATTAATACAAAATGAGCAATCATATTATAATCTCATTATTTGCTTTTAATAGTCAATTCCCTGGTTTATGTGTTAAACTAGGATTATAATCTAAATTGTTATTTTCAGTCTTTGAGTAGTACTAGTGACTGAAGGTCTACCACTTACATATTGCTCAGTATTGGAGTGGTAAATAAAATGAACACAGTCTCTGTTTTGTGAAGCGCACAGCCTGCTGAGGGAGGAAACCATACGCACAAATAAATATATAATTTAAAATTATGAAAGGAGCAATGAAAGAAAAGAATTGGGTGACACGAGAGAAAATAAGGGAATCTTATTTATCTCTGTCCATGATGGAAAGTTATTCTGAGAAAGTAATACAAGATGACGTCTGAAAACTAAGTAAGAGTTAGCCAAGAAAACACTTGAAGGAGAGTTTTCTAGAAGAGAGAAAAACATCACAAAGACTGTGGGAATGCAGGGAGTTTTTAAAGTTATATTAAGGATGTTGAATTCCATTCTATGTGAAAGGGGAAGTTGTTGAATGAATTTAAAGTAAAGACATACTATGATTTAGTTTACAAGTTTTATAATTCTCGAATGTAAATTCTGTTTCCAAAACATTTCTCAGCAGAGTTAAATGATATTGCAAAGGCCCTTAGGCGACTGTGAAGTTGAATTGTGTTTCTTTAAAAACATCAGGACTGGCGCAGTGGCTCGCGCCTGTAATCCTAGCACTTTGGGAGGCGGAGGCGGGTGGATCACCTGAAGTCAGGAAGACCAGCCTGGCCAACATGGTGAAACCTCGTCTCTCTACTAAACATGCAAAAATTAGCCGGGCTTGGTGGCACGCGCCTGTAATCCCAGCTACTTGGGAGGCTGAGGCAGGAGAATCACTTGAACCCGGCAGGCGGAGGCTGCAGTGAGCCAAGATCACACCAGTGCCCTCCACCCTGGACAATACAGTGAGAATCCGTCTCAAAAATATATCAATCAATAAATATAAATTTTACAAAACTTTATACTTTTCTCTTACCATGTTACAAAACAGTTGATGTTATCCTATCGACATCAGTGTTATATTTGCATCCCACTAAATTTACATTTTGGGGCTTGCACTATACAAAATATATAAATACTCTTATAAATCAATATGAAAAACAGCCTAATGAAAAAACAGGAAAAAAAATGAAATGGTAAAAAAAAAAAATGTTCAGCTAAATATTAACTGGGAAAATATAAACCAAAATAACAGTGAGATACTATATTCTATCCAACCAACCGGTGAAAATTTTTGTATTTGGTGATAGAAAACATTGGCAAACATTTGGAGCCACATTCACAATCATCCACTGCTGGTTGTGCAAATGGTACAACTAAATTAGAGATGTTTGGCAGTTTTTATTAAAATTAAAAATGTACATAAATTATGACCCAGAAATTCCACCTCTAGGCATAAACTCTAGGGTTATACTCAAACACTTACACAAACAGCCATGTATAATGATATTCATTGCAACATTGCAATAGCAAAAATGTACATAAAACAAAGGTTAAACTGTAAGACAATGGTTAAGGCATGACACATCTATATTCTGAAATACTTGGCAGTGGTTAAAAATTATGAGTTAGATCTATATTACTAACACTGGTAGATTGTGCAAGGGAGTGAATAAAGCAAGTTGCTAAAGAATGCATATAGGCCGGGCGCGGTGGCTCAAGCCTGTAATCCCAGCACTTTGTGAGGCCGAGACGGGCGGATCACGAGGTCAGGAGATCAAGATCATCCTGGCTAACACGGTGAAACCCCGTCTCTACTAAAAATACAAAAAAAAAAAATCTAGCCGGGCGAGGTGGCGGGTGCCTGTAGACCCAGCTACTTGGGAGACTGAGGCAGGAGAATGCCGTGAACCCGGGAGGTGGAGCTTGCAGTGAGCTGAGATCCGGCCACTGCACTCCAGCCTGGGCGACAGAGCGAGACTCTGTCTCAAAAAAAAAAAAAAAAAAAGAATGCATATAATATGGTTCCGGTTATGTTAAAACATTCAGATACACTAAAACTGTATATGTTCTTACAGTTGCCCATATTTGTAAAAGCAAAGAAAAAGTTCAAGTAGAGAACTTTCATTGATCTTTAATATTTTAATTATCTATAAAGTGACAAATCATTTATGTTTTACTGTTCTTATTCCTGGTCCTAATAAAATAATCCAGCTAAGTCCGTGCAAATTTAAAACAACCTATTATTCTGTTTCATTGAGTGTTAGGAAATAAGGATTTACCTTTACTTTGAGTTTTAAGAGAATTTAGTTTGGTTTGGGGGATGTTTGCTGACTTTTCAGCTATTCTCTTGAAATATTTTAAAATACAATTTCACAAATGAAGAATATTTGAAAAATTGGAGCCTTTCATTAAAATGTTCAGGTTAAATCCAGGTTATCCTGACATCCCATTTTATTTCAGGTCTTATTAATCAAATTTTTCTTTAAAATTTTTTGGTCAAAATTTTTTAAGCGATTTTACTGCTACTAGTACTTGTTTCCACATGAGCCTCCTCTTATCAGATTCCCCTTACCAGCTCCTTGAGGGCAGGCACATCAACTTGTTAAATCAATGCCAGTATAGCAGTCAGCCTCCTTTCGGGCAGATACTCTATGATTCAACACCTTTGACTTAGCAGCTTCTCTGAATTTTTATCCTACAGGATACACAGGTGCCCAGTGTGAGATTGATATCAATGAATGCAATAGTAACCCCTGCCAGTCTGATGGGGAATGTGTGGAGCTGTCCTCAGAGAAACAATATGGACACATCACTGGACTGCCTTCTTCTTTCAGCTACCATGAAGCCTCAGGTTATGTCTGTATCTGTCAGCCTGGATTCACAGGTGAGGCCAAGGAGATGGGATATGACTTGACTTTCTGGCATTTTATGGCAGACCATGGATTTAACCAACTGGGGTATTAGCAGGATCTGTGCTATGTAAACTCTGTTGCTGTGGTGCAAAGGGTCCCCCTTGTGGGCATGAAAAGTATCTTGTTTCACATGTCAGAATTCCTCAAATCACGAGAGAAATATTAAAAACAGGGATAAAAGAGGTATGAAAGGGGTGACATTTTTATATGTTATGCTGGGAATTGGAGTGCAACTCAAGTTCTTTATACACAGAAAATGTTGAAATTTTTATGCTATCAAATTTGATAATGATGTTAAATTTTATGTTATTCAAATTTGCTAAAAAACTTACTGTGCTTATATTTACACTGGGAAAAATGACCTAGTCTCAGGTAATCTTCCTCAGCGATTCTATAGCTGAAGTTATTCCATATATCAAATTTAAATTACTCTCTTTTTTTGTTTTGTTTTGTTTTTTCTGTTTTACAAATTTCTTATCTAAAACCCAGAGGAAATTTGCATGTCTGTTTTCCAATGAACAGTTTTGTATGTGTCTCCTTCCCGTTCTGAAAATTTTCGGAATTTTTGAGGCAGTCTCCAATTCATTAATGGCTAGCAATTTACCCCCAATTGCATTGATACCACTGAGAAAACTAATTACAATCTAGATTTCTATCATGTTTCTTTCTCAATAGATTAAGTGATGCTTCTGGAAAATATTTCAGTTGTTGTTCAGGATTTCTCAGAAAAGTACATGAGAAATAAGAAAAGAAGGCGGTGGTCTATTTACAGTTAGGATTCTCTTTCAATGTTTCAGTTTTGAAGTTTAATGATCTTTGATTTGTGGCAGTGTTTGCTGCACGGTCGATAAAGAAAATGTTTACTTCCTTATTCACTGACCTTTCAAGGAGAACATACAGGAAAAAATTCCCTCAGGTGTCAATCAGCAAAGTGGTATTTACCCTGAACAAATTCTATCATGCATACTTCCTACCCTAGTTTAGAAAATGCATCCAAATAAATCTTGATATGACTAAACTGATTAAATGCATAAAATAAATCTTGTAATATATCATATTTCCCAATTATGTAAGCTGCTAGAAATAAATATGAGATCTGCAAACATACAGGTCTTTCTGAAATATGTTTGTGTATTTACCTCACCTCTGGGGATATTTAAATTTCCTGTTTCTGTTTCTTACTATTGCCCCTTTTCAAAAATTTGTTTCTAAATTATTTGATTTTGGTCTAGTGTATGCATTTTCGTCCGCTACTTTATATTTTTCTTGGAATAAGGTGAAGGCATTATAAACTATTTTTAAAATATTGGTTTTAGGGTCATAAAGGGATGATTCTGTCAAAGCCAAAGAAAATGCTAATATTGCCTCATCAAATAAAAGGAAATGGGTGACCCCTTGAATCTGCAGATCTAAACAGGAGAGGCAGAAGAATGTTCCAGAAAAAAGTGTTGGGCTTGATTTCTGAAGAGCTGCCAGGAGTGACTATATGAGTTAAGATATCCTGGCTGCCCCAAATCTCTGTGGCTTAATGAAATGGTTTATGTTTCACTCATGTGAATTCCAAAACTGGGTTCCCATCATCAGTTGTCCTACAAATGGCGATTCAGGGTCACAGGCTCCTCTATGCGTTTTCCTCGCTTCAAAATGTTACTTCTGAATTTGCTGTGCTCCTCTGCAGCAAGCCACTGGAGAAGGAAAGAAAATGGAGGATGACACCTGCAGGTTTTATGGACCAACCACTACAAGTAATGAATATCTCTTTTACCAACATTTTATTGGTCAAATTTAATCATATAACTACATTTAACTGCAGAAAAGACTAGAAAAACTAGTCTTTCTGTGTATCTAAAATAAAGAGAAAATAAGTTTGCAAACAGATAATCAATTGGACACAATAGCTGGTACACTGGGGATACAAACCTAGATCTTCTGATTCTAAGTTTATCCTCCTGCCTACTATGTCACATAATTTTATGTCTACATATATTTTTATGTCTACATATATTTTTCTACATTTCATTTTAAAAATAGCTTTTTAAATGGCAATAGTATATTTATGTGCAGTTTTAAGAAACACAGGGAGGCCCATGTATACTTTACCTAATTTTCTCAATAGTACCATGTTGCAAAACTATAGGTCAGTATCAGACTTGGATATTGACATTGACAAAGTCCACATACAGAACAATTGTCATCACAAGGATTCCCCCTCTCTCCTTCCCTGCCTCCTCATCCCTTATGCCTGGCAAATACTAATCTGTTCTGCACTTGTATGATTTTGTCATGCCAAGAATGTTATATAAATGGAATCATGCAGTGCATAAAGTTTTAGAATAGGAGTTTTTTTGTTTGTTTGTTTGGTTTGTTGTTGTTGTTGTTGTTGTTGTTTTCCACTCAGCATCGTTCTTTGGAGATTTATCGAGGTTGTGTATCAATAGTTTGTTCCTTTACATTGCTAAGTAAAATTCGATGGTATGTATATATCAAAGGTTTTGTTTTGTTTTGTTTTGTTTTGTTTTAACCATTCAGCCATTGAAGGGCATCTAGATTGTTTCAGTTTTCGGCTATTATGAATAAAGCTGCTAGAAACATTGTTGTACAGGCTTTTGTGTGAATGTAAGTATTCAGTTCTCTAAGGTAAATGCCCAGGAGTAAAATTGCTGGTTCCTATGATAGTTTCATGTTTAGTTTTCTAAGAAACTGCCACACTGTTTTCCAGTATGTCTGTACCATTTTGCATTCCCACCAGCAATGTACGAGTGATCCAATTTCTTTGCATTCTCACCAGCATTTAATGTTATCACATTTTTTTAGTAGTCATTTTGATAGGTATGCAATGATATCTCACTGTGATTTTAATTTGCATTTACCTAATGCCTAGTGATGTTGAACATCTTATATATGCTTGTTTGACATCCGTTTGTCTTTTTCAGGAAAATGTCTCCCCATGTTTTTTGCCTATTTCCTAGTTGTTTTTATTTTTTTAGCTGTTGAGTAATTTTCCACATACAGACTTTGGGCATTTTTTGTGAGGTTATACCTAAGTATATAGTATATACTTGAGGGATAGTAGATAGTATTCTGTTTATAATTCACTTTCTACATATTCACCGTTAGTGTTGGGAAAGGCAGTATTGTGCATGTGGTTTTTCAAACCCTTACTCAGCCACGTAAGAATGGGCCTTGGGCCCAGAACACTTCCTTCCCAAGAGATAAAGTGTCCTCGCAGCCCATGCTGTAGTTATCACCTTGTGTGGGAATATCTTTTCCTGTTTCAGACTCAATATGTACTCCCTTGTTCTGCTTAAACAAATGTATCATATGGCACCTAGCCAGCCCCACTGCTATAACTTTCTTCTGCGGGGAGGGCAAAAGGTTCTTCTGCTGTAGCATGAGAGGGTTACATGCCGCCAACTGCCCCGCATCTGCTGCAAGGAGGCCCTTCTATTTAGGGGACTGACGCCAACTACATAGCTGACCTTGCTCTGTCTCTTCTCTATGTGAGTAAAACATTGTTCCATGTAGTACTTGACTGTGTTGTGTTTTCCTTGGTGACTCCAATACCAAAATGCAGTGGCCAAACGTGTCCAGACTGTTACTCCTGGTAATAAGCAACAGAGGCCACTTGCTAGAGGGCTAGAACATAAAAATATGATTGTTTCTTGGTTGTTGATTGTGTATAGTGAGACTTTGTTTAACTCATCTATGAGATCTAGGAATATTCTTTTTGTAGATTCCGGGACGTTGTCTGCATGGACAATTATGCCATCTGCAAAGAGGAATGGTGTTATTTCTTCCTTTACAATACACATGGTATTTATTTTACGATGTTGAGTATGAGTTGTGAGAGCAGACATCGTGCTTCATTCACCATTTTAGAGGAAAAGCATTCAGTCTTTTACCATTAACTATGATCTCCATAGAATTTTTATAAATGCTCTTTTTCAAGTTGAAGTAGTTCCTCTCTACTCCTAACTTGCTAAGAGTTTTTAATCATAAATGGGTATTGCCTTTGGTCAGACACTTTTTCTGCAATTGATTTATCATGTAAGTTTCTTATTTAGCCTGTTGATGTGGTAGATTGCACTGGTTCATTTTCAAATACTGAATGTGACTTGCATATCTGAAGTAAATCCCACTTAGTGTATCTTTTTTCAGTTTGCTAATATTTTGTAAGACTTTTTTGCTTCTAAGTTCATGAAAGTTATTGATCTATAGTTTTCTTTCTCTCTCTCTCTCTCTTTTTTTTTTTTTTTGTTAATACTGTCTTTGGTTTTATGATCAGGGTAATATTGACCTCATAAAATAAGTTGGGCAATGTTTCTTCATTTTCTATTTTCTGGAAGAGAGTATGTAAAATTGATGTTAATTATTCTTTAAATATGTGGTAGACATCTTCAGGGAAATCAGCTGATCCTGGAGATTCTGTTTTCTGGATCTTTTGAATTGCAGATTTAATTTCAGTATTGTTATACGACTGTCGAGAATACCTATTTTTGGTGATTTGTGGATTTCAAGGGATTGGTCCTTTTTTTCTAAAAATTGTGTATTTTTCTGTTGTTGGATGGAGTATTTCTATATATGTCAATTAGATCATGTTGGGTGATTGTATTGATTGGATCTTCTATATTGCTGATTCTTCTGTTGAACTTCTGAGCATAATGTTGCTCATAGTAGTGCCTTGTTACTCTTTTAATGGCTGCAGAATCTATAACGATTTCTCTGTTTTATTCCTAATTTTGACTATTTACATCTTCTCCTTTTTTGTCCATCTTTCTACAGGTTTATCAATTTTATTGATTTTTTTTTAAACTAGCTTTTGGTTTCATTGATTTTCTCTGTTTTCCTGTTTTCAATTTTATTGATTTCTGTTCCTTTTTATATCCTTGTTTCTGCTTGCTTTGGGTTTATTTTCTGTTTTGTTTTTTTTTTTTTATTTATTTTTATTTTTCTAGCTTCTTGAGGTAAGAAC